AGTTCAAAATTGTAGAGGACCGCAGCGAGTCTAATAATCCGCTTAAGGGCCAATGGCATCAAATTATTTTAAAAATTTAGGAAGGTGGTGGAAAGATACTAAACGTGAATTTTACCACATTTTGTAACTTTGGGTCGTGGCTGGAAAACATTTCTTTTCGATGAACCAACAGGAACAGTACCCGTTTTTAGGTCGAGAATCTTTAGTCCTTTGTTTAATGAAAGAAAGAAACGTTGGGTACGTACCGAACCGATACGCGGGAAATTCTGCAGCATCGCAGCGAGCTTTTTCGAAATTCTGGACACGGCGGAAGCTGCCAGAGACATACCTGCGTCGGTGGAATCAGTGGGCGCTTTCAACGCGAAAACATTTGTATTCTCCTGCTCGCTGCCGGGAACGTTATTATGAAATATTCCTCTCCATTATGAATTTATGGGTATTTCCTCGACTTTGTGCGAGGCGCATCGAATACGTAGCAGACTTTTCAGTCTTTGGGATCCCGATTCAGGGTACGCGAATTCCCGCGATTTTAATATCCGTTCCGCGGAAAAAATATACGCTCGCGTATTCTCGCGAAGAGTAATTGCACACGATCCTGTCGAGGAATTAATTTTCTCTGCGCGACGTCATGCGGTTATAATTCAGCCAGGTTTTATTTCATTTGGATGAGAGCCGCACGTTTTTAGCAACGACAAACGTTATAGCGTTTATTTACGACCAAGTATGTTAATTCTTTGGCACTTTGTTTTATTTTGTGTGATTTAAAAGTAAATCGTAGCCTCGTTGCTTGATTCCCCGTGCCATTTGGCCGCAGAAAGATACAATTACGCGCGAAAGGAACAACAAAAGGGGGACAAAATTCTCGCGTCACTGTTTTCTGGAGAACGTGAAAGGCATCGTGGGTGGATACTTTCGAAACGGAGATAGGAACGAAAACGGTCGTGTCGCCGAGGCACATCCGTGACACAGTTTTGCAGCTTTGATCGAACATTGGCCTTGGTGCAAAACATTTAAGCGTGCACGGAGCAAAGTAACTTTTACAGAATTCGCGTTGCAAAAAGATCGGAAACGCGATAGACGCGTTCGAGGACCGAACGATGCTGAAACACACGATTCGTAAAAATGGTTGCCTATATTGATCAAGCGACAAAAATAATACTTTTATATTCGTGTCAATTTTTAAAAGTTAAGGAAGCTTCCAATAGTCTTCACGGCGATATCGAGAAGAAAAACTTTGGATGATAGTTTGTCCTTGAAACTTGTCACAGTAGTTAAAAAAAGAAATTTTCCAATTTATACAACGTATCAAGAAAGTAGAAAAGGAGAAACTGAAAAATCGATGTCAAATAGAAAATACTCTGTTTTTATTTTTTTATTTAAATTTCAAGGATGTCCAATATTCTTGGCGTCGAAACAATCCTCCGTCGCGCTTTTAATTCAAACGCAAACCTCACGTACGACCGTCTAATCTCTCCAACCCCATTCCCTTTATCGGAAACGTGGAAAAAGAATCGAGTGCCGCGATCCCCGCGAGTGGAATGCAGAAAATAAAACGCAAACGAGGTTCTTGAGCACACTCCGGACGTTTCCGCGTCCTCAGGCGGTCTCGAAAGCGGCACGATAATGGAAACAGGGGGACATTGATGTATCTTAATAAGATACCGTATTTATGCGCGTAATTTCTTATCGATTAATAGCCGTTCCGCCGTCGCGGAGCGGCAAAGACGCGACTCGTAACGCCATTTAAGGCGTTCGACACGGCCCCAAAACGGTCCACGCGTCCTTTCGCGATCCGTCGCGATATATCAGTCAATCGAGGAAGTCTCAAAGACGTTCCCTCGCAATTTAACCAGCCGCCGTGCAGTTCTCTATCCCGTCCTTATCGAAACGTGCCTAGCTGTGTCACGGTTGCCTTGACATCGGCCCGCCGCTGTTATCCGAAACTGTTATCTCCCCGCTGCTGCTTGACCTCCCCGTATTTTCAGCTTTCCCGTTCGATCCGATATGAAATCTTCTACCCTCCGTGGATGGAAGGTGTCCAGGTTCGACTCTCCCACGAAAGATCTTATTCTCCGCGACTCTAGAAACTGTTATTGTTCGCGGACGTTCGCGGCCGAAACGCGACAACTTTGTCCGTGGAAATCGATATAGACTCCGACCCGGTCCCGATACTTACGCGATACGTACGCGAGAAAAGAAAAGAATTTTGGAGAATTACTTTTTTTTTTTAATTTGGGTTTTAGGACCTGTTTCCTTCTTTCCTGTCCAGTCATACGCAGTGGTATATGGTATACCTTTAGGTAGTTTAGGGTATTTTCTATGTGTTTCTTAGTCGCCAGAACTTCTGTCGATGTTACTTTATATTTCTGCCTTAGGGTGTTGTATCTTAAACTTTTCTCGCGTGCAATTTTTTCTTTTTCTTGGTTTGATTTATATAGAGAGATTTATCTTTGCGACTGGGATGGATCAGGCGGCCCCAAGGAGGCAAGAAACGCACGAATATCGAAAATAAAAGCGCGGTGCTCGTTCACGCGTCTCGCGACGCAAGTTTTTCTTCCCTCTGGTTTCGTTTCACCTTTCGTTTCCAGCCAAGCGCGATACGTCTTACACATCGGTGGACGCGAAACTCCTATTCGAGCTGTCCTCCGCATCGCCGAGGGTTCTTTATGGTTTATGGGTCGGCCCTTTCCCACTCTGAAAGATCGAACTCGTTACGCGGCCACGTAACGAAACGCAGCCGCTCTTTCGTCGCCGTCGATCTCTATTTGTCAAGCTCTCCTCTCTGGAAAATGCCATTAACGTTCCTACGTTTCCTTTCGCAAGACCTGCCCTTTGTTCTTATCTACTTGACTATAACAGCCGCGAATTCGCGTCGCAGTTAGCCGGCCTAAATTATTAATTAACGACGCAACTTTCTTGCGTCGATGTTCCGCTACGGTAGAAAATTTCAGAGATCCAATCCATTTTTTATGAATACCACCAAAGTCCTGCTCATTTTCGAGAAAAAAAATTCCTTACTGAAAATCGAATTTGACGCTAGAAGTTTGAAACATAACCTCTGAACGGATTGGAGGATTTTAATTTTTCGAAATGCAAACGACGCGTATTTTGGCCATAACAATGCGACCATAAAAAGTAGTCCAATTTTCAACCGACCATAACTGCTACAATAGTGAACGTATCTCATTGAAATTTAGTAGTAAAGTAGAGCTCATAGGTACCTAAAAAAAAGTACTAAACAACATTTCCATATAGCGTCGAACAAATGTATTCAAAATAAAAAACGAATTATTAAGAAAAATCGACAAGAGGTAGAAAAAAAAAATTTCAAATCGTTCTACAAAAATAATTTCTAGCTAGGGGGGTTAACTACGATCATTTTTGGTGAATAGACATACCCCCGAAATCCTACCCAGTTTCGAGAAAAAAATTCCTTACCGAAGATACGATGTGAGGACAGAAATGGTTCCAACAAGTAAAATTCCAAATAGAGAAACGTAAATTTCCCCAAGAAATTGTTTTGTTCGTTCATTGTGAGACCAGCAATACGAAATAAGGTCCGAAAGACCTTCTATTTATCAAACGGACCGTGTATACTTTGAGCAGAAGTTTCCAAAGCATCGTTGCAAGCCAGCGTCTCATTTTTCTTCCTTCCCGCGACTTTTTTTTTGTTGCCAGTGGAAACGACACGCTCGTTTCTTCCAATAAATTACTTTTTCCATCAGGTATTCTGTTTGTAGTTGCTCGACGACGGAACGAACCTTTTTCACGGTAGTTCTCTTTTCTTTTTTTTTTTTATGCCCGGAATTGAGTTCCTGCGACACAGGAAGTCACTCTACTTTCTTGCCGTGGTAACCGAGCACGTTTGTTTCCGTTTTCGAGAATCGATACTTGTTGCAGACAGATTTCGTTTCTTTCCTTTTCCCAGCGTCGAAATACCTCGTTTATCATTTACGAGGATTTGCCCTTTGTTCAAATTTCGGTCAGCGGTGCTATCGTATTTACAGGGCGTGGAAAATTAATGAGACATGGAAGTAATATTTTTTTGATCGTGTTAAAAGAAAACCTTAGGGCTTGTTCGGAGAATGTCTAACGATTTCAGAAACGTCTTGATATTTAAACTACTTTTTAATCCAGTCTCTTTTTCACAGATGCAACGTCGTTCGAATAGTCGAATACAAATTTTTATGTCCAATATTTTTTCATTCTAAATCAACTACCCCCATTTTCTGGATTATGATGTCATGCAACGCGATCTGGGTCTATTGTCGCTGGAAAAATGCCGAGCACTTTTCGATCTCGTGTACAAACGTACGTTCTCATCCCTTGCTTCGACATACTTTTCCTATTCAGTTTTCTTATCCCATCCGGATCCTCGAGATACGAGATTTGTATACGTTACATTTCATCCCGTATGCATTTCTTCAAATTTTCCTATTTCTTAATTTCCGACGAACAATCTCGTTTCACTAACTATAACCCAACCTCTAAAGCCACGTTACCCACATTTTAAAAATCTAAATTGATTCTATCGCCAGTTCGTATCAATCGTAATGTGAAAGCAATGATATGGCACAAACTATTTAAAAAACTATTCATTGTTCACTTTTCAATTTACATTTGTTTCTGAAACCATAACGTGGGCTATACAGAGTTTGTTTTCGTACCTTTTCTTGTATATGATCAGGTTCATACCCTCGTCCTTTTCTCAATTTATTCCTATATAAAGGGTGGTTCTACCGCCAAACAAAATAAATTTAAAAAAAGCACGTGCACGTTCTTTATTTAATTATAGCAATTGCTCTTGGAAAGTTCGCCGGGGGAACGGAACAATCGGCCCGCCTTAAAACTCGCGCGTTTTCACTTGACCGAGAAATCGCTTTACGCGCGCCTCGCTAACTCACCCTGACCTTTTCCTGCGCATTGATCAGGATCGTTTTCTCTCCTTTTGTACCAGGTTCAACTACCGTTCACAGTAAGTCATCGTTCACGGCCATTCTATGTTTCGGCCAGTCGATCGACCCCTGAGTTTCAGGCAGCGCGCCAACGAGTGGATCTATAAGGTCAGTCTTAGCGGTAAAAACGCGCGCTCGGAGGGTGTGTGTGGGGAGGGGCTAATGCGGAATTCTCCCTGGCGGAGGTCTTTGCCAAATGGGTCAACCGCGGAGAGAAGAGGACCGACCAACGCAGCGAACGACGACGAAACGATATTCGCGACGCTCGGGGGAGCCATAAAAGTCTGAACGCGGCCTAGCTACCCGTGATCTATACTGGCCCCTCTAAACGAATTATCATGGATTTAGTACCGTGGAGCCTTGAAAAAGCACGACGGTCATGGAATCGATCCGATTCCCTTACCGTATCCTCTCAACCCCTCGTCTCCCATTAACCGTCGACGACGGTGGTTTCCCAGACGTCCAATCAGTTTTCGCAAAATTTCGATCGCAACTCGTGATACACGATCTAACCGAAACGAGCGTCGAAGTGTTTGATATCGGTAATAACGACGCCAAAATGCCTCTTTGTAACTTTTGTTTACATTTTATATTAGGTTGGCCAGGAAAGTAACGTCGGAATTTTTAGTGAAAAACAGTAGTCGTTTTTGTTAAATATATAGGAAACCGTTTTAGCGAGTCTTGAATATGTATTTTCCGGAGACTCTTTTCTGTTAATTTTGATATTTTGAAATTTTTTTTTTTCAAAATTAATCGACTGTCTCTTCGTCCTTTTTTTCTCGTCTCGTCTTGGTTATGAACTCTCGTAGCTCGAATTGTCGAAGCAATGGTAGGGAAGCACGTTAACCTTTAAACGGGGGTGGTTAAGCCCTAGGAGCAACGGCTGATCCCGGTGCACCTTGAATTCGCCTTGGCTCGCTCGATCGAGTGTTTGGAAATACAGGATGGTCAAGCGAAAGTGGCACGAAAGTTTGCAAGTTCGTAGTATGTACTTCATTCATATTGATCAACGTATAACAGAACACGAACTATGAAAAATGAACGAAAATTCAGTATTTTTAAATTAGATGAATATTTTGGGGGAAAAATATATAAAAATAGGTTGTAAGAATTTGTGTGCATGAGAGAATTAATAATGTTGGTATGGACCATTTAGAACTTATTGTTGCATTATTAAACATACGGGCACACTCGCTACCTCATTCGGTTGGAATACCGACCACCACAGGCCACGATTCATATATTATAATTTTGTTCGACGTAGCGGAAGCTTTCAGTTATGTACAAAGAGAATATACTAAATAGATTCCTCATGGGCAATCAATTAACAATCGTCGCTTTATCAAGTGTTTCAAGTGTAAATTGCTACTGGTTGAAAATTTCATTTCCAAATAGGTTAAGGATATTTCCAATACAGTAACTCCTAACTCTTGACGCATCCATTCTGAGAAATCAAATCAACGGCCAAACAAGGCCCAGACTTTGTACGAATGATCTCAAAGCGAACCACAAAGAATACCGATTTCTAGATTCGCTCGTAAATTGTTTGCCCTCCGTTAATAGATTTCAATTCGCGAATGAAACGCAAATGAAACATTTTTTATTCGTTGCTCTCGAATAAAATTTATTCGACCGAGGCTGAGAGTGCCTTGCCGACACTGGCACGCTTTGACAATGGGACCGTGATTCGCGTACAAACGTGACCTTTCTAATTTTGTTTGATTCGCGAAAGAGCCGGTCGAAATTAAATTGAAATATCCAACGTTGTTCGGGGGTTTCGTTTGAACGAGGAACCGGCGATCGGGGGAAGCAGAAACGCCTCGAATGCTCTTTGCATCTCGGCAGCTGCAATTTATCCGCTAATTGCTGTGCAGCCTTCTGGCCGTACGGGCGATTTGATTAACGAAAAATTCCGAGCCGTCAACGGCAAATGTTTCACGTAGGTTTCGATGCACCGGCCACGCCGGTTGTTCCCTCGCCACGTTCCCGCTCGAATAAACCTGCGACTTCAATTAACGCCGCACCCACACACGCGATTCTTAATTGGCAAACGATTTTTCGCCGCGAGGAATAATGAATCGAACTTGCCTTTCGAAATTTCCGATTTTTCGTCCCTCGTGCGGTCGCTGGAAACTAAAATTTTTACCAATCAGGTGAGAATTCCGCATTAGCAAACAACAGGTCTCGTTTCCTTCTTAATTCTGTGCGGATCGGATGGTAAAAAGAAAAAGAATTACACCTGTTCACGAATCGACGCTATAATATTAAAAACAATCCACTATGCACACAGCAAATAAATTGAAAAGAATACTAGAGAATCTATTCACGCGCAACTCGCCGGACGTAACCTTCTCTCCACTTATTCTTTTAATTGCTCTATCTGTGCTCTCTCTCTCTCTCTCACTCATTCACACGCACGCATACTTCGTAATTTCTCACATGCAATAACAACAATCTCACTCACAAATTCGACTTGAAAGGAAACTTCCTCGTTACCAGTTCATTAGGGTATAATGTTTCGATTGCAAGTATGTGGTAATTTGCAAACGATAATAAAATATAATATCATGAAACATCTGCGATCTAAAATACAATGAACGAGGCGAGGCTATAAACCTGTTTATTTCAATTTAATTTATCAGTTTCTTTTACTTGGAATATTTAAAAATTATGTCCCAATGAGTTTGTAATAAAAAGTAGAAAATCCAATATCTCGAATTTCGAACATTTTTTTCGATCGTCCATAACTTGGAAAGCAAGATACATAGAACGTTCGAGCACACGATATTTTTTACTTATTTTAACACGCGGATACAGTTCCTTTATACAATTCTATCGTTTTTGATATGTTACCCGTTTCAGCGACCAATGGCCGAAAATCTAACGAATTTTTCGTTCACCAGATGTTATTTCTTTGGTCGAGGGAGCCAGCCCCGGGTCCGAAGGCCGGTCCCTGGTTCGCGTGGCTCGCCACGGCCCTGTTTCTCTGGCGTTGCAGACGAAGCATCGCGAAAGCGATCCTGGCCGTGTCGCCGCTGAGGCTGCTGAAGAAACGTAACGCCGCGACGTCGGCGATCGCGAGGGCGTCGTCGATGGCGATACAGACGAAGCACCAGCAACGTCTGAGGCTGGAGAACCCCATATTGCAACGGAAGTTCAAACACGGCATCAAGAGGGTGAAACGATTCTGCACCGGCGACGGGCCGCACGTGACCAACTCGACGTCCGCGATACAGAGTCAGCAGATTTACTACAAAACTACCAGAAGCGGCAAAATATACGGGAAATATCCGCACAAGGCTGCTGCGTCGGCGAACAACAGCTAGGGAAGCCATTCCAGCGCGACGATTCCATTTACTCCGATTGTTTAGCACCGACAGCTCTACCTTTATTCGTGACCGTAGCCGAAGCCGTCGTCGCGAACGCCGCGATCGTCCCAAAGATGTACGAAACGTTGGCTCATTTTTTATCATAAAGTCGTTTTACCAAAGAACCGTTGTTTCTGTTCAGTGGCAAACAAAGATTAAATTAATTATAAATTGCTCGCTACGACCGCGACCGTTCGAACGATTATCGTTAGCTTTGTGACCGTCGTTGATTAAATTGTTACTTTTTACAATTGGATACGACAATCCAAGTCGATAACGAAGGTCTCAGCCTTTTAATACAAGTATAAATATAAGACAAAGTGCAAAACGATGGTAAAAAACGACCAACGATTATTTAAATCGTCACGAGCGATTTACGATTCGTTCGGTTGCCAATCGTTGCCGATTAATTTCAGTAATCGATTACCATTGATCGTAATTAATTCTGACGATTGGAGTTCCAACGGTACCCGCGCCATCGACCAAACGATCGTTTAATGTCCAACTCCGATGTGCAAAGTTATTGCAGCGGCGACGAATTCGACGATAATAATACCAGCGGAGAAATTAAAGTCGTTTGAAATTTCAGAATGGAATATTGCCCTGAGAGGAGAATATCACGCGATAGTATTTTAATTAAAGCGTTCGAATCGATGCTACAACGGAGTAGATATTCCCGAATATTCAAACGCAGATAAATCCTCGTTTAAACGATATTTGTCGATCTCGTTATATGTAATTTTAGGAAGGTAAAGACTGGAATCTGTCGATCTAAGAAGCATCCGTAAGCGTTTTTCAAGTATAAACGTTTCGTCTTACTCCGCGCGAACAAAAAGGCGCCTTTTATTCGCGTGGAAGGAGAGGATCAAAGGAAAGATTGGCCAAATTTCTAGAAGAATAAGGTCGCGTTCAGGTGTACCTTATATTCCACTGTCATCTTTACGACGATAATACTAAAAGAATTTCAACTCGAGCATATAAATACTTGGATTTTCCATCGCGTTAAACATTACAGACTCGAAAATGTTAATACCCTTCGATTTTTTCGTCCTAATAAAAATTACATAAATTCCAAGGATAAGAATATCCTAACGTCAGCGAGTTAATTTTTCGAAAGAAAAACTAGCGTCGCTTTTGTATCCATCCTCAAAAGGAAAACTATCTTCCTCCGGCACCTTCCTTATCGCCTCTCGTCGGCGGTTCTTTGAATGTTTTTACATCAAAGGACCCCGAACGATTCGGCAAGAAGCCCGACTACCAGTTTTCTTGGTTCTTCCTGATGTCCTCGGCACACATTCGAGCGTCGAGGTCATTTTACGCAGACCTTCGTCGGGGCCACCATCGAATCCACGATCCACAACGACCGCAAGCATCGTTTTGGACTTCTGGTCTCTCTTCTCTCCTCTCACGTACGAGCAGATCAATAAGCGTTCGGTGCGTTTCGACGACTTAGGGCACCCTTATAGCTAGCGATATGCCTTTGCATCTTGCGCAACCACTAGCGGATCGGCCGTGGCAGGTCGATTCTTTCGAAACATTGGCTATAGAAAGGTCGAAAATCTCGTAAAATTTGCAAAACCTTTCGATACACTCCACATGATCGGTTAAACAAATTACTTGTATAAAATTCACCGTAAATGTCGTCTTTGCTCAACAATTTTATCCTGTTTTTCTTTTATTTTTAATTGCCGCCTTTAGCTACGCGAAATTACGAAAAGAAATGGTGGACGTAGAGATTGAGAATACATGAAATTCCGTGATTTTCGAACCGAAGTTTCATTTAGTAACGAAGAGCAAAATCTTTCGAGCAAAAGATCTGTTTTAAGTTCTCGTTTGCTTGCCTGTGTTTAAGATTGACGAGTAAATGGATAATAGCAGTCCCGCAGGTTAAAAAGATCAGCGAAAGAAGTTTATCGTTTTTTTCGAGGGCGATAAACACGTAACGCAAACTGGGCAATGGCCTCCTTCGACTAATCAGATTCGCGCACGAAGTTTCTTCTAAATCGTCGTCAACGGGCGTCGTATCATTGCACACGTCGTCGCGGACCACGTAACAATGAACAGCTGCACAAGTTTCTAATCAGAGATGTGCCAAATTTGAGCGGTACAATGGCCGCGGTTTCAGAATGAGCGAACGTATCGGACGTGTACGTGTCGTCGTCCAGAATGAAACGTAACTGTACCAAAAACGACTCGATGCCCTGTTGCGTCAGTTTCAGCGTCCAACCTGAGGACTTTCAGGGGATTCCTGAGGAACCAAGACCCTTAGCCACGCTCACGATCGCTGGATACGAAATTATAAATAGAACCCGTCCGAGGGCAGACAATGGCGCGATCTGACGAGTGGACGTACCCAAAGGTTGCCACTAAGATGAAACGATAACGCGAACTTAAACATTTTGTTCAAGAATCATTTTCGATTTCAATTGAAAGAGTTATATATACATTAAGTAAAATTTGAAGATTTATGTGTTTGTTAAAATTTGTTAACCTTGACCCAAAGTTGTCTTTCATCCAACGAGTGTACACTTGCTTCCTTTTTACAGGTTGTTTTATGCAAGCTTCTGATTTTATTACGATGCTAATAAAACTTTGCTTCGTTGCAGTTACGATAGCACTCGGAAAGTTTACTCGTTACAAAACAACATCCAGAGCCCGGTACAACTAAATATAATTTAAAAGATAATTCATTAACGAATACATTCTCGTGAGCATATAAACCGAGTTTTCAATTCTCGATCATTTATCATTTTTAAATTATTATTTTTCCGTTCGTATAAAACAGCTTTGAAAAATAGTTTACTCCCACGATTCCGTGCTCGTCTGTAAAATACGCTCACCGATAAAACGCGGGACACATTTTTATCCTCGATCGTTCGGTGCCGAACCAACGATCTCGCAACAAAGATGTCGTTTCTTTGCAAACGACTTTCGGCGCCGCTTCGCCTCCGATCCGAATTAAGTAATTAAATTCCAGAGCGTTGATTAGAATCTTTGTTCGACGTAAATGAATCCACCTTTATTGCAACCGCTGTCGAAGGCTCCGCGGGACCGTGGACGTGAATTTCCTGTTTTTTAATCAAGAGTGTACGAAAATAGCACCGGCTAAGACTTAATCAGCCTGTCTAACGTGAGTGGATGAAAGGAGGTCCTATCTGATTTGAATAGAACGACGCTGGGATGGGGCTTCGGTAAGGTCACCGGCAAGACCTTGCCTATACCGAATTACGTGATCGTCAATTTTGACGTCACGGGTATTCCACACCGGCCAAATAACGTTGATTCATCGAAAAGTGATTCCCTCTTAACGCTTTGTTTTATATAACGACGTTCCGGTGCGCCCACTTACGACTAACACGTCTAACGCGATTTAGAAAACAACCAAGACGCGTACAGAGTGCTTGAAAATCGCAAAGAATCGACGTAAACGATGGTCTCTATTTTTCTGTAATCGCGTATAAAAGTAACTGATTTAAATTGCTAATCCGTAAAAGAAATACAGAGATTTTTTTACCTCTATGATAGAAATTAAAATTAATATTGAGGCTAGTCCAAGTATAAGCAATTGCAGGATCCGTAAGTTAATTATTAACGACGTTAGTTTAAGTTCATTGTTAAATTATGGACCGTAAAAGTCACGTTTCTTTTAAGATTGTCTGTGAATTTGTAAGAGATTCGAATAACTTTTTTGTACCGTTGGATCGCGTTTAAGAACAGATCGATCCTAAAAGATTCAAGCGTGTCTGGGCGAGGCGTAAAATTACAGCGTGTCCGCGGAGGGTTGGATCTGATAAGATTTATCAGCTCGTCCGGTGATATATCGCGAGCGCTGGTGGACTCGCGAAGATAGACTGAAATATCACGGGGCAGAGTTTTGACGGAATTTCGATCGCGGTGCAGGTGTTCAATGAGAGAAGTAAAATTCAGCGTAAATAGAGAAAATAGCCGCGGCTGCCTGGGTGGGCACCGGCGACACGACAGAAATAATTGAATCAGCATATCTGCGAAGGTACACGTTCCTCGCGTTTCTCTTATCGCGACGAAGTGCATCTTACAAAGTGGTTTCACTTTATCATCGACTCTCACTCGCGTGTTTCGCATCAGTTATTTATGTACGGCGATGAACGGAGAGGAACCTTCGCCGAGGTCGCTTTCACGCCTCGAATTTTCAATTACATTTGCATAATACCCGTTTAAAAGACTCTCGGGACGGTACAAGAAAAATTGGACCCGCTCGAAGGTTGGCGTGTTCTCGCGTTTTTCGTCGTATCCGATTAATCAGAATTTCGCTTGTTCGGCGAGATCACAGATCACAGAAGAATAAAATTGCATAATTCCGTGAGGGATAAAGTGTTCGAAACTTTGGTCCGATTAGAAAAGCGACAAATAACGGGTAATTTCAAATAAAAATGAAACTTCTAGCAACCACGACCTTCCTTAAAAAAATATATACATTTAGAAATTAAAGATAAATTCTTCGATATACGTATGTATATGTATATCCGAGTCGATTGCTTCGTACATAGTCCGATTAAACGAATTAAAATCGGTCGTTGGCAATTACTTTGTTTCCCGTATCTCGATATTACAAATGGTGATCGAGCAACGTCAAACGGATCTCGCGGATAGACGTTAAAGCATAATTTTGTTTCAAGTTCGTACAGCGTGTTGTTATAATTTCCTCCAGGGCCATATTCCGTGAATCTATGGGTAGTTACGAATGAGCTACCGACTGCTGCGCAAATGGGATCGTTGAAGCGTTCTCCGCGCGAACGACATTATGCTACCGTACTCAATGAAGATTTATTTACAGGTCACCGAGTGCTACGTAATACCGGGCCATGTTCGGATAGCAAAGGTCACCGTTTTCGTGCGTGTCTTCTTTCGGTAAAGGAACAATTAAATCCCGCAGGAACAACACGACGCGACGATAGATCCTTCGTGGCTCCCGACTCTCGTGCGATCGATTCGCGTTGATTAAAATCGCGTAATTTCACCTTACTCCAAGTTTCGAATCGCGAACGCCGACCAAGACGTCGTCGAGTTTGATCATATCGTAATATCGATGATCGATAGTGGAAAACGATAGCACGTGATCTTTTTTGTTACTGTTTTGTTAATATTTTATTTGACCGATGATGTCATCACGTAAGCCTCGAAGGATAAAAATTAATTTTTCCTGACGAGGATCGGCGTTACTTCCAATTAGTGATTGACACGACGTTGGTTAAGTAAGTTACTGTACATAGTCATCGATGCTCGATTCGAGAAAAAGTGTACCGTTTCATTGAAATGTAGAAGCACTTTGTAACTTTGAATTTACTTTCTGTTTTCCCGTAGATTATTATCGTGTCACGTGCGTCGCAAGATACGCAAATCGATTTTAACGATTCCATCGTGTTTATACCGCCACTTCGGAGCAATCAGTGCCAAAATTGATAAATGCCGTACTCATTAGTAACGCTATCTGGCAGTAATATATGAGGAAATTCTCGGGCAGGTAATCGAATGCAAACGAAGTGTTACAAGCAATTTGCATAATGGAATTTTAATCTCTAGACGCCTGCGACGCCGTTGGCGGCGCCTTATTGATGCACAGGAACGAGCTGTTAATTAATGACACCTGTACAATTGAAAATATAAATTCTTGCGTCGTGTCTAATAATGCGTATGCTATCGTATTTAATAAAAATTAGATAGCGTGATGTATGGTCTCTAAAATTGAAATAACGCGTTGACTGTCGGACTAGTACACGTGGAATTCTCTACCCAGGTAAAACTTTTGTTTCGAAACAATTAGAAAGTAGATAATCGAAAATTTGTAGGATTACTTGTTTCTAGTATAAAGAAACTCGTTATGTAATTGTTATTATTAGACCGAGGATCTGTATGCAAATTTTTATTAATAGAATTAATGAAATGGAAGTTTTAGTAGTGCATTCTGTAGTTTTTTGAGAATCGAAATTTACCATATATGCATAAACATCCGCGGTCTAGTTATTATATCGTTGGTTACGGGTGGTTTTCTCGACGAATTCAGATTTCAATAACCGTTAATTTTCGTCCTTTGGTATGATTTTTCTGGTTAAATGTTATGCTAATCAATTTTTAACAAATCGTACATTATGTTATGGCTGTAAAATTCACAGCCTCTAGACGATACCGCTAGATGGTTGAGCGCTTAATTCTGTTTCCCGCAGGTTTCATTAAGCAAATGACTCCGTATAGGAGCCAATTGCGGCAAGCACAAATTGCGTCTAAAGCAACGGTTACAAGCCTCACTGTGGAGTCTACCAGCAACCTTGGACGAAACGCCCTTTCATTAGGAAACCATCTACTTTCATAAAACTTTCAAACACTCTTCAAAACACCGGGGTGTACCAGATTCCAATTATTATTAGCGTTGTCTGCTGTGGTTAATATTTCACTATCCAACAAACTAGTACCGGTATCTTCAAACATACTACTGTACACAAATTATTACATAAAATCTAATGTCTTGTTAGGGATCGAAACAGTTACGAGGCTGTTTAAATAGAACATCCTTTTTCAATGAGAAACAAGTTTCGATAAAAGAAGAGAAGTAGAAATTTATAAAAAATGAAATGAAAGCTCTTGTTTAACAGGAACGTGAAAGAAGTTCATTGATACTAAACGAGTTCTCAATCTGTTCAATTTTTTAATATCAAATGATTCTATATACTATTTAATTTTGTTCTTTGTTCGTACAAGGAATGGCCACGAAAAAGAATAGATTTGTTTTACGAATACCTCGTAAATGTAAAAATGTGTCGATTTTAATATATAAGACTCGATGACGAGTGAGTAAGCCTCATGATCGTGAAACTTGTGTCAGACTCGTCATTATACGGCAAGGGGTTAAGTTTAAAGTGCCCGAATCGTTGAATCTGACCAGACGGCTGTAACCATCCCTGGCATCCTTACGAATAAAAAGTACGAAAAGAGTTAACGAAACAGGGACGTATCCCCATTAGCTGGGATAAGGAAGGTTGCACGGTACCTCGCGGCGTAACAGCCCCTCCGCGTCCGTGTTCCGTCCCCCTGAAAGTCAAAAACGAGGGACGAGTGACGCAGCTGCGGCATCCGAGCCCTCCAATTGAAAGCGTCGTCGAGCGGGTCCCGCGGAGGAGCCGTCGTGACACCCAAACAGCCCCGTTGACCGACATCCCCCGGAGCACGTGACGGCCGTTCCGTCGCGTAGAGAGCGAGATTCGCGATGGGTGGCCCAGCTGACGCTCGAGAATTTCCCTAAAATCGACTGGTGGCATCGTCGACGTCGGGTGGGCAAGGAGGAAGAGCGTTCGTGCAGGGCGCCGTAGCGTCGCGCCGGCAGGCTTCGAGCCAATGCGCTGTGAAAATGCCCGGGTGGGAAAGGGTGGATCGGGGGAGGCGCGCAAGCGTCGTCGTGGTATCGACGCCTCGGCTCCCGGGCCGAGAGAAAGAAGCGGACTCAGACGGTAGTAGTAAAGCCCAGCTCGGGTCGGCCGAGCGCAAATGCGCTCTCTACGTGCTGACAGCCGCGTCTCGTACGAGCTGACCGAGCGTCTCGTTCGCGTCACGAGCGCGTCACCGTGAAACCGTCGGGGACCGTTGGCAGCGGGAGATGTGCCCGTCGTGAGGCCGCCCCCGGTAACGGAAGGACCGTCTATCCACACGCTCTCTCTCTCTCTCTCTCTTTCTCTCTATCTCCTTCTCTCATCCTTCGTTTTGTTATTGTGTGCGTGCGTGCCTGTGCGTGAGAACCTCTCTGTTCCACGCTGCTTCCGTCCCCGTCTCTCTGTCTCCCTCTGTCGTAAGCCGACCAGACCGTGGGGGGTTAAAAGTGGCGCGAGGAGACCCAGACCGGAGACTGGCGGCGTTCGGGGCGCTGGTGGAGCTGGTGCACGAGATCAGGATGAAATCGAGGAGGTACGTGCACCATCGGACACGCGTTTTTACCCCGAGTAAACGTCAAAGATGGCAGCGTCCGGCGTTGTCGCGAGGGATGCTGCGTGGACCTTCATTCATTAGCTTCGCCGTCGACGACGCGGCCGTGCAGCTAGGCCACGAGGAGGCCTTGCGCCTCGTCGAAGGTTCCGACGCGCGCGACGTGCCACGACGGGGTTGGTGGCATTGAACGGCGGGAACCGTCCGGTAGTCCTCGTTCGCGTTTAACGGAGCTTTTATTCGATCGAGAAAACGATACCTCTGTATCGTCTCTGATCACGCGTGAATGGATACCTCCGAGATGGACAATGCTCTCCTTTGACGACGGTTCTTTCCCCTCGCTGTTGCTCTTTCATCAACGTCTCTCTCTCTCCCTCGTTTCGTTGCTCCGAACCCTTTCATCCCCCTTTTACAGTGTGGCCCGCGTTCGGCTTCCTTTGATATATGCGCTCGCACACGTACAGAGGCGCGCGCGCGCGCGCTTCCACACGTTCGCACACCGTCGTTCGAAAATTGATGTCACGAGGCGAGGAGAGCGGAAAACACACAGATACACGTACACCGACGCCGGATGTACATTGACTCGGGCCTATCTGTGTGCTCCCGTCAGCTTATCACGACATGCGCATCATTGGGCAAATATTCGGTTAACTAAACAAGAGAGGCCGCCCGATATGTGTGCACGTCACCGTGTGCCGCGGTTATACGCGGTGTGACACGACGCTGGTTACACGAAGGCCAGCCTCAGGATGCAACCGGAGGCTCGTTCGCGGACCGCGGATCGGGTTCTGGGCTCCTCCACTTGCTTCGACGATCATTCGAGTGCTCCGTCGGGAAAAAACACTCGCCCGCGATGCATTCGCTCCCTCGTTTCTTCTCTATTTCCCCCCTCCCCCCTTCTCCCCCCCCCCCCTCGTTCCTTTTCGCTCGCCTTTTATTCCCTCCTTTTGTTGCCCGTTCAATGCTGATCGTCGTCGAGCTATTAGCGAGGTTCGCGTTATTTAAAGCGGTTGCACGTTCGATTCGAAATTAACGCGTTAAACGTCATCCGAGGTTTCCTATTCTCGCGGGAACAAAAACTTTCTCAATGGTCGATTCTCAACATCAATTTGAAACGGGAAGGGAAATGTTTTGAAACCAAAAAAAGGTCAGAATTATTAAGGACGTATAAATAGATGGGAGATTGTAAGATCGATTTGAGGGAAACCTGGACCGTGGCGAGTGATTTTTGTTTAACCCCTAAGTGGACTCTGAAACTCAACCGAATTATTTTACCAAATTGGTAAATGGAAATCAACTTTCCCTTAGAGCATTTCAAAAATAATGAACTGAATAATGGAGGACCATATAAATTTTCGAATAATTTCATTATTAAACAATTATTGGATTAAACTTCTTCCCGAAAGGTTTCGATAAAGAGAAGAAGACCATTGAATATTTGAAATTGGGAGGGAAATGTCTTGAATCGTCTCAGCTCGATCTCCTTCCTCTGGCAACACGGGGGGCATCTCTGTAAAAAGAAAATTCGAATTATTTTTCGTTTAGTACAAATTCATAACAAATGCATTCTCTGTATCTTACATGAAATTTTGTGAAATATATAACGAAGTAATATATTACGAATTTTTGTATAAATATAGAAAATGGAGCTTCTTGATACAGTGGTTAAGAATCATTGTTCTATCAAATCCCAAGGAAATAGAGATTAATTACGAGAATTGATTGGATGAAAGTGGTTATTATTATGTCTGCTTCGATTCACAGTGATACGTCGTTATGTATCCCCATAAAATTAAATATCGTTAAGTAAAAAGCTTCGTTTATAAACGAAATAATTAGCAAATTATATAACGTATTATAGCATCACAGAAAGTGAGAAAATTGTAAATTGAACATGTGATTCATAAATCGTATATTTGCCCAACATGAGCTCGCTGTGAGTCACTAGTGACGCATGTGGCGTGTAACGTAGTAAGTGGATATACTAGAGTGTCTCAGGAATATTACAAGGCTGAAAATAATTTCTTTATTTCAAACAACGCAAACGACAAATTTTAGTACGAAATCTAAACTCAATCTTATTTAAAAAAATTGATGATTTATCTTGTTGTTCTTTATCATGGTAAAATGCAAGAGAGGAACTTTCGTGTAATAAAGAAATAATAAAAATGTTGAACTGGCCGCAAAATGCAATGAATCGAACCGCGCGCGGCTCGCAGACCGCGTGTTTTACATGCTTAATACGTAAGCACGGATAAAACCTCGTAACTTCAGCATTTCTTTTTTTATATGAAATCTCGACCAAAGTTTTAAAAAAATATTAAGACACGACTAACATACAAACGAAGTTGGAATGAAATCCATTCTAATTAAGACCATAGAACGGACGAAAAGTCTTTCGTTTCACGAATCTTCATTTTCAACGTTTTGATCGTGGATATATGACCCGAACGACGTATCGCGGAAAGCACTCGAAACAGTTTATTTCTCGCTATTCATTTTCCGTTTTTCATTCGACGTCGAGATTGAAATTGAAACGATCAAATTGCCCCGTTGCATAACAAAGGGACGACTCGATTGTCGAATGTGCAGTTTTAATCCGATGCGCATTTCTACGTTCCTCGTTTCCTCGTTGTTTTCGTTTCCCGTTTAGCTCGTTTCGCCGGTTGAAAAAAATGTTCGGCGCTCGTCGCATGGCAGTTCGACGGTTAATTATGCGCTTCAGACGCATTCACGGGAACGAAGAATATCGATAAGCGGAGCGGAACTTTTCTCATTAATTGAAGCACAGTGCAAAACCGGCGTGACGGAGGGGCGCGATCACTTTTACTATATAGGGCAAAATTTAGAAAGCGGGACACTGGCTGAGCCGTAATGTGATTTAAAGATTTAATAAAGCCGGCCGCGTGGATTAATTCGCTCTTGAACGACGCGCGCGAAAATGATTTGTAGCTCGATGAAAATCCGCCGGAAATTGATTACGTCGGATGAACGCGAATTTAGATGAATTTCTTGCGCGGCTCGGCGTTTCTCGTTGTCGGGCTGCGGGGCAAACATTTTCTCTGAGATGGTCGAATGGTAAAAGATGGTGGGCTTTGCTGACCAAGAGGTAATATCGAGAAAATTGTCTAGTTAGGGTGAGTCTTACATCGCCATATTTCAGACGGAAAATGTTTCGAACGAAAGCTCATTGGCAAGTGGCTTTTAAGCACCGCCATTTTTCTTTTTACATTTTTCACTAACAAGGGGAGGTCATGACCTGTCAACCTGGAATTTGAATCAAATTTGGCAGAGTTGTACGGGCCGATGTCCAAATGTAATCTGTAAAATACTGGACGTTTATGGCCAGCCATTTTTGAGAAAAATGACTTTAAAGTTTAAAATTTCGAAGTTGTCGGGTCGAATTCGAAATAATTGAAATGTAATTGTAAGATAAAAAGAAAGTAGTTTTTAACTATCAAATTAACATCAGCTCAAGTTACTTAGATTCTGATTTTCCTGCAAAAACGTAACGATTCGGTGAACTGATGGGCACCCAAAGGTTTGCTGTTTGGGGGTTGTTTTATTTCTTGTATAATTTGAATCGCTTTGGCGCTTTGCCGATGTTTACTGGCATTTTAAACGCATTACGCATGATTAAATTATATTGGAGAAGAGTATTACCCTTCGCAGAAAAGAAGCATGAACGCGAATGAACAGATTGGATGCTTCAAGAAAATAACTTCTTGATTAGATTGGCTACCCCAATCGCTCAGAAATGGGGTGTAATGCTGTTCGTGTGATAAATAAGCAATAAAAACAACGTACGAATTAATCTTCTTCTAAAAATGTTCAGTAACGAATAAAAATGTACGTTTCGTGTTAGACAAATAAAAACATTTTTTGTTCGTCGTTTGTAATTCGAATAAAATTCCGTCAATTTCTGATATCGGGGTGGAAAATGTTCTGTTCTTTTTTTCGACTGTTAATCTCGCGGTAGGAAAGTGGGAAGTTTTCGGGCAACTTGAGCGAGCAACGAAACAACAAAATTGTTTCTTCGTAAATGGTACCGCTTTCTGTTTGGTCGATACACTTGCCCCTGAATGAATGTATCGCTAATGGCACATGTAATTTTCCCAGCTTCTTGTAATCTGGTCGATCGGTTTTCCGACACTACACGACTTCCATAACACGTAGTAACTGCACAGAGCGCGATTGGTCGAGCTACAGTTCCACGTAAATCTGAAACAAGAGCAATTATTTCAACTACAGCGTGTCATTATCTTCGCTGTTACGTACGATAACTACAACTTAATTTAATATTAGTTAGACAATACAGATTGCACGGAACACGGTAACATGCAAAGGTTACGAACTTAAAAAAAAAGTTTGTTTAAAACTTACTTGGAACAAATACGTTACGATTGATTTTCTATTTTCAAGATTCCCCGTGACAAACTTCCATCGATTTACGTATTTTTCCTCGTTTCGTTTCCTTTGTAAAAATTGTTTAATCACAGTAACGTTACATCTTCGATCTCAGAAACTTTTAATTAAATAATCTATTATATAATGTAACGAGTAACAATGTAAAGTATCTTCTATAAAAGTGAATCTTTTGCCTTAATGAGTTTCTCGTTGACGTTTCCTTTCTCTCCTTTTTGCGCCTTTTTAAATGAGATTCTCGTTAGGCTTGAATACCGTCTGAAAGAGCGAGTACAGAAAATACTTTGTACTCCTGCCTTTTCTTTTACTTTTACGTAGCGCCCGAGTGCCCGGTGCAACGTAACAATCTTTTCAAATCGATGTTCTTTTAGAAAATAATGCAAGTCGCTGCAAAGACGTGCACGGTCCAAATAAATATTTCATAATTGGAATATCGATGGTCGTGGATGTGTGCAAAATAACAATTTATGGGACAATTTAATATTTTTCTTTTATTATTAATGGCCTGTTTAAGGTTGAATTCAGCAGGGGGGAAAAAACAATAGAAAAATTAACAT